ATTTTAATTTGATTATAAACGTTGAAATTTTAAAAGTTGTCATTTTAGTTGCTTATGACCTTATGAATATGTATATAGTTATAGTTATTATAAGTTATATTACTATAGTATAGTTTTTAGGCTCACACGAGAGACATGTATCCTACAAACTTAGTTCCCACCATGCAGACATATGATCATTTAACCCTCTCAGTAGTTTCAAAGTGTCATTCATATTCAGGTCACTTTAGTGCTCTGATGCCTGCTTACAAAGCTGCCAGACTCAACTTCTATTTCTAAACAAGAATCAACCCATCAAGAGACCTCTTGGTTCATTGAGGATGTCTCATTCAAATCATTGAAAAATAAATATAAACTCAAGTACAGCAAAACACTACCTTGCAGTATAAGTTTGCAACCATTGATTAGAAACAAATTGTTGTTTTTTACCCATCTAATGATATTAGCATACTTTTTTTTCAGTTATGTGAAATTTCTCTACAGTTTAACCGATATGGAAATTTTTTACAAAATACTGGTAAAATATGACATAATTAAATTAATTCTAAGAACTTGCAAGTGAAATCATCAGGTTGGCTGAGGTACAGCAAACATAAACTGTTTGAGACCAAAGAAGTCCCTTTAGAAGCTTTCAGCAGCAATAAGGATATTTGAATTTTAAAAAAATCAATTAAAAACTATATAATATTTGGAGGTGTTAAATTTCAGTATTTAGTTTGCAATTTTTAAAGGCCTTACTATTTAAGGCTCAATAAAGTTTGGGAATTTTCATGTGCCTTAAGTATATAGTGCAAGATACGTATGTAGGAGTTGCACGTAATTGATGGTTGCTCGAAACTAAAGAAAAGCAATAATAATAAGTTGTGGGTTTGGCATTTTATTATTAAATACTGTACATATATATTGCTTTTAAAACATTATCTGACTATATGAAAACTTCTATAGTGATAATTACTCATAGTTACTGAATTATTATGGTAAAATAAATGTAAACTGCAAAAACAGTATTTGGATTCTAAACAGCAATGGAGTAAATCCTTTGTGTAAGAATTAAAAACACTAACAGTTTAACAAAAATATTTCCATTATGAAGTCACTACTTTAACATTGCTTATTACATTACTGAATTTTATTCTTTATTACAGAGACTTTTCCTTTCATTTGGACAAAGAGCATTTGTAACATCAACTGTAGTAAGTAGCAGCTTTTTATATATATAATGCATGCACACACTAATGAATGTTTTGGCTTTAAGATTATTTTAAACAAATTTCTTTTCTTACCATAAAGTAAAGAATAATATGAATTGAAAATTACCACCTACAATATTCAGGTCTTTACCATTAACTTAAATGAATAACCAGAATGAAAAAGAGACTGCCTAAAGGTAGCCTATTGGAACTTCTAGCAGTTATGAACATCAAAATCATATAACACTGAATTTCTCCTCTTTTATAGTGAGAAGAAATTACTTAAATCTCTCTGTAGTTTAAGGTATTTGAAAATCATTTTAATAACCTTCTTGTATTCCTTTTTCAGCAAATCCATGTTCTTCTTTTGATAATAATAAAAGAAGAAACTAATATAAAAAAGAAACATTCTTTGGAAGTCACTTTCCTAGTTCACTTGTAAAGAAAGAAGGTCTACCTTATGAAAGCATTTGGCTCGTGTTGTTTTGTGATTTATGTTGTTTTTTCACTCTCGCTAATTAGCAAAAAGCATTGTGAAGTACTTATTTTAGTAAGATGTAATTTACATGAAAAAGTAGTAGCTTACATGATTTTTAGCATTATGAATTTCTTTCAGTAATGATACATAAACTAATTTATGATTTCTGAATGAGATGTGACAAGAATTTTATACACAATGAAACTGTTATCTTTGCTTATAACATTATATTAATATACTATAATTGAACTGATTGCAAGTTCATGTTTTCACATTTCTGAAGTATTCTGAGGTTCTGACACTCCTTGACTAGTCATATACTACTGTAATGATGAATGGAAGCACTCTGACAGTCAGTTATGTTACCACCTTTGTGCACGAGGTGGATAGTTCCATTCTGATCTTTGATCCAGTATTCCCAATCTTTTGCTTCTGTTTTTTAATTAATTTTCAGTGGATATGCTTCCACTTTGGATGCCCATCTTCACAATCTTTCTGAATTTCCCCAACATCTAGCTTCCACTCTTTTGGTCTCCAGTTCCTGATTCTACTGCTCCGGTAGTGGATGTTATGAGCCTTTTTATATGCCTATTCTCTGCTTTTACTTTCAGCTATCACCAGTTCAAAACAGTTTTATACATGATTTTTCTGTCTTCCCCAGCCATTTTCCTTTTCTTTCTCCAGTTTTCATGTGTTTTATCCAAGCCATTTTCATCAGTCATCCTCCTCATCTGGTTCCTCTTCTTGACTGGATCATCTGTTTAGTTCTTAGGATTCTCACATTTCCCTTGTTTGAACCATTGGCCACCCTTTACCTCCACAATCTTCCTCGTCAGACATATTAACTTCTCCTCATTTGCAGGAGTTGTTGCTCTGACATTTTTGCCTTAGATGTCTCCTGCACCCTTTGCCATTCAGTGACAGATTAATATTATGCCCTTATCACTCCTTCATCTCCAAAACTTGGGCTGCTAAGAAGGGTAATCAGATGTTTTATCCATTCATTTTACCCTCCCTTTCATCCCTGTACAATCATTCTGATCCCAGTCATTTCTGTTGTCCTGTATGGACTATTTATTGTTATCTCACTTGGACTGCCACATTCCAAAGCAATTGCCACTTTTGCTTGTGCTGGAACTCCTACTCTAGTAACTTATCTACTTCCACACAACAACCAATCAAGTACCATGCACTTCATTATTCCAACCATGCAAATTCTCAGTAATGGTGAGGAGTCTCAACACATTGACAGCCTTAACCCGTTGACTACCGGCTACTACCTTTCTTAGTAGCCAAAGCAAGTCTTGCTATTTGTCATTCCAACAATAAAACTACTGGTTAAAAAGTTTTAAAACTTTGTAATGACTTCAATAAATGTGTGTAGTTTAAGAAACATAAAGCCTGTTACTTCTGATAAGTTTCGTTTTTTTTGCATTATGGTCTATAATATCGTGGAAAATTATGTTAGGAAATGGTATTTATAAGAAATGATTACAATATTTATATTTGTTCCAGATTTGAACTAATTACTTTTTATGT